TAGTGCAGTCTAGTAATTACAAAAATAAATGTATAGACTTTACAATTTTATTTTTATATAATAATTTCTTTAAATAATCTTCTTATTCAATTAATTTGGGTTTACTAAAATAATCACAATTTCTAAAACCAAATTAAGGTTTTGCATATGAGACTATGTAGAATAATGTCTATTATTTTATAAACTGTTAATTTTATACATTCTACGATCTAATATTGCGTAAAATTTGGTATTTCGATCTTCAATCCACCATGTTTTAAGTGGTAGAGCCATGCTGCAGCTATATTGTGGTTGCAGCGCGAATGGGTCGGCTTGGCCGGGGTATGAATCAATGGTGACAAAATCAATGGTGACAAATGAACACACAGTCCAACTGATAGTGAGTGGATCCTGTGTGGATTAACGACACACAACCTATAAGTGGTTGCTGTGGCCCACAGACATCTACATCTACCCTCGTATTACAAATCAAAATGCAGATGCGTTGTCACCCGTGAGGACTAGATGAAACGCCTAGTTTCATTTAAAAAGTGTCTCGGTTCTCGACAGTAACGATTACGAAAACACACAATCATTAAGCTACTATTTTACACTGGTATCCTGTGAGAGCGTGGTCCTTCCCCGGTCGAACCGACCCATTCGTGCTACAACTATACTTCTAATATAACTGCATGGTTCTACCACGTATAAACGACGTGCTTCATTTTTTTTTCATTTTAAAATTGTTCTCGTAATAATCTGATTGTAAATAAATGTACATTATTTTTTTTATAAATAGCTTATCGATTAAAACAAATGTTTAAAAATAATTGAATCGCGCTAATTAAAGAAGTAGGAATGTTTAAAGTTGAAATTGGCACTAAAAAGGCTGGTAATTGGGCCATCCACCCTACAAATCGTGAATATAAAATTTTAATCAGATGCGTGTAATCACTCTGGGAGCTTGTAGCAAACTAAACTCGCGGCCAACGTGTGGACGCGGCGACCAAACTCTGCCAACAATCCTTTGATCTTTTGTAAAAAACCGACACCACATGGATCTCGCGCCAACTTGCGGGCCATCGTTCCAATACATACCAATGAAGGCCAAACACCCCGTCTTCACGTTGGCCAATGCTTTTGGCCACTACATTCGCCACTGTGTTGGCCAACGTGTAGAGGCGCCGTTACCTAAAACAAATTAAATACAAATAATAAACAGGTCTTAGAACCTTATTAGTTTGTTAAAAGTGACAAAGTATTAAGTTTATTTTATTAGTAAAATCTAAATTAAATAATAAATAGAATAAATGCACAAAAGAATTTATTATAATGTTAAAAGAAAATTAGAATCTTTGGGTCGAGGGACTTAAGAGGGTTTTGAAGAGCAATTCATATAACTACATTTGTGTACAAATAGGTACCTTATGTATTCAGCAAGTTGCTTAATACTAAATAGCTTTTTTGTTAAGCCGGACGCAGATCCTGGATTTATACCAGCCATAGTAGATAGGCAATATAAATGTTACATATTTATGTGTAAAAAATGTAGTAATTATTTGTACTAGAAGCAAATATAAAGTTTAATAATAGTAGTTTGCATAAAAAAAGTGTAATGGTTGTATCTATTATGCTTAGACAGCTGTGTTGTTCACTGTGCAGAAAGGAATATTATTTTGTCATCTAGATTCAGATATACTTAATATAACAATAATATCTTTGTCTCCTATGTACATGAAATCGGTAAAAATAAAATGTGAGACAACTTTTACATGGTTGAATATCATAGATGTTGATCTGTAATTACTGCTCCTGTATTTGATCAGCTGAAGCTGATTAATGTTGTATAGTTTATAATAATTTCTTTATTATTTAACATATGAAAAGGCATATATAAGAAAATGCTTACAGAAATATGTAAATACAGTTTATTGACATTGAAGGCATAGTCTTATCTCATATCTCTTATTATTAAAAATGTCCTTTTAATTCCTATATAATATAGAAAAAAATAATATATTGATAAGAATTATTATTTAGTTAAGACACCTTTACAATTGTCATTAACTTCTTTTCAGGTGGATCGCTTAGAACAAAACAAAAAGTGTATGGATATTGAATTAACTCTTATAATTGAAAATTCCTTCTGATTGCTTACAATATCATAAATGTACATGTTACCATCAAGTTATTTTCAAAAAACCTTCAGAAATTTATCTAACACTAAAATGTTTCTACCTATGTCCGTCATAGACAAAACATAAGAAACCATCCAACCAATTTCAATGAAAATGTTTGTGTGTGTTTGGATGGATCTCTAGATGGTTTATATTTACATTTGGACCTGGTAGATGGCACTGTTGTCGAGATCCATAAATCACCAGTGCTGCAGCTGAGGCGCATCGCTAGTAATAAATACATTTAAATTAAGCCTGTGTTTTTGTAATTCTTACACAAACAGTTTAAAACATCTTACTTCCTCACTATTTATCATTGTGTAATAACATAGATAAGGCATGTTAATTCCTAGTCATTTTATTATGATGTATACTACTTACTAATCAACCAAAACATATTAAAACAATGTCTTGACACCGCTCCTGTCTATATATGTCAGTCAATAATCAAAGTTCAAAAAATTTATTAAATTAAGTTTGTATAAAAGGGGTTATTATAGTATAAAGGAATTTATGGCTGACAATAACCCGTGGGTAAGGTGATCGCTACCAAGCTATTTCTAATTTGTTCTGTGTTGTTAATTATGACATACATGATTGTAAGCTGGCTTTTTTTTAAAAAGACTCACTGGGTATTTTGCTGGTTCTCTTCAAGTCAGAGGTTTTTTCCGAACCAGCGGTAAATTAAAAAAGTGACTTTCAATAAGTATTATTTATAATCTAAATTGAATAAAAGGTTTCTGTTTCTGTACCTACTACTGTTAATAGAATACTTAAATAAATTATGATTTACAATAATAAATAGAATTAACTACATTATATTTTATTTTTTGTAATACAACCAGTCTTAAAACATATCTTACTGTGTGTTGGTAATATCATAAATATAAATAGACATTATCCCTTAGCCATCTTGGTATTTAGAATTACACTCACAATCAATCAATACATGTCAAACTTAGAATCCATACATTTGTGCATAGACAGGCACTATGTTTTGCCGGAACTAGTGAAAGGTTTTACATCGATTTTAAAATATTTATAAATGCTGAATATATCTACAGCTTAGTTTTATATGTACTATTATTCAAGTGTGCACTATTTTAACTTATAATACCGATGAATACTACCAGAAAATCGCTTTCAGTTTGTTTTTAGGTTATTGTTAGATTCATATTTTATTTGTTAATTTCTCAGGACGCCGTTTAGACGCAGTAAAAGTAATAATATTATTGTAATCTATGGATTATAAGGAATAAATCGACATGCATTTCATTGATAATCTTTAAAATTTGTAGTGGGCCATTCTCCATAGAAAAATTGATTGTCTCTTTTTGGTTTGTAAGCTGTACTAACTGTTACTAGCTGTTAACTAATGTACTATATTGTATGGCTTTTGTTAGATGGCAGTAAAAGCAATTTTCAAATAAGGTTTTCTCTAACCTATTGATACTTACATTTATCCTTGACTTAGATTTGAAAAAATACGATTTGTTTATCCTTCAATTTATAAGTGTTTTTTAAACTGAAGTCACAAGCAAATTTACAGTCCATCTGATTGTGAAGTAACTACTAGTAACACCAGCCCTTGGACATCTGGGACTAGTTTTAAACAAAGAAAGCTACATATGCATTCTCACCTCTACGTACTAAGATGGAATGCCTCACAGCCTATATGGACCACTAAAGCCTTCACGCTGCAGTACAGCAGTACGAGCACTGCTGTGTTGGTGACAGAAAAAGGTAAGAGTGGTTCTATCTTAAATGGACTTTTCTACAAAAATGGCGACCTACCACCTACAAAAGTCGGTCGATAGGTCGATTAGTAAGTTTAACGATCATTATAAAACTTTCTATTAAATTATTAAACCTGTTATGTGTCAAACATATAGAGCATCTCAAGCACCAAAACAAGTTACAACAATTTAATGTGCAATATTAACAAAATTAACACTCGGTAAAGCAATCGCAAGAATCAGAAACCATTAAACGTATAATAACAGTAAATCTGCCAACGTGGAGCATCAGATAAACTAGCTTCGTCGGGAGTTCTTTGGAAACGTGCCCGTGGAAACGACCCTGCTATCTCAGCTGAAAGAAATTAGTAAATAGTACGTTAATGTTACCTTCTATGGAAAATGAAATTTAATTTTAACGGCTCTGTTGCGATGTGGCTTATCTTTGAGTTGAGAGAGCAGTATTTGTAATTTGTATGGCCTAAAATAATTATTGCGGGTCTATTATGTAAGTCCAAATAAAGCAATTTTCGTATGTAAACATTCTTCAAATTACAGAAAAAGATACTAGTGCATATGTATAATTTAAACGATAGTTTTAAACGAGGCGACGTTTTTTAGAAATAATTTAATTTAAAGTAATTTGAAGTACTTTCCTAAAAGACTACAGAAATTAGTTGAAATAGAATGAAATGAGATGAAATTAAATTTAGTATACATAATTTTTTTTGGCGTAAGTAAATAAAGTTTGTTTGTCAAATGTTATTTTTTAACCTACTAAATATACTGGCGTTTCGAAATGCGGTTTCTCTGACCGGAGAAGAAATGGCGAAAGACATTCCATAGGTATACTCTTTATTTCTTTTTTCATTGTAAAAAACAAAACCAAAAACCTTTCAGCCTTCAGAAAACTCTCACATATCCTGAGTATTTTACAACCAAATGAAAGAGAGCTTTGAACAATATGCAAGACATCTGGAATCAGAAAACGGAAAACCCATTATATACGTCGGGTGTTTTACAAACAGGTCTATGAGCTCTGATAAAAATTAAATAATCCTAACTACTTTGCCATATTTGTGTACTGCTGAATTGTCACGACTTAATAATGACGCCGGCTGTACATGTGGTGGCTGCTAAACATAATCCTATTTCATTCCGTGGGTTACTCAGGGAAATGCCCGTTAGAACTTGTGGCCTTCGAAATATGGACTACCTCCTGTAAGTATAAACACTGGTGCTACAATCGTTCGTTTAATCAAACAGATAAACAAGACAGACAGATAACGAGCACTCGCTCTTAAATGACGCCCATACTTGAAAGTTAATCGCCCCTCGCTAGAGATGCATTTGTATTTGCAAATGGCATTGGAATACTTGTTTACCGCAATGAAGTAAATAGAAAAAAATTTATAGGTGTAATCTGCGAATTGATTTCAATTTGAATTATACATTATAATAGAGTGCAATCTATCTATATAAAACACAATAATGTTTCTACCTATGTCCGTTATAGACTTTGAAACCATCTAACCGACGTTCCCCATACCGGTTTCAAATAAAGGCAATAATTCGAAGATGACTTTAGATCTCTGAAACAACACATTAAGTACTATGTAAAAAGGTTAATAAATAAAGAAAATTCCCTCTTTTTACAACAAATAAAAAAAACCTATTTCTTTTTTAGCGTAGTAGCACATTTTGGGTATCCGCTAGTCACATATGTACTTTCCTCCTTGCTGTATTTTTGATGCTTAAACACTGAGAAACGGCTTTTAATTTTGTAAACTCGATTTTAACTGTACGTAGTTACGCAAAAAGGATCCAACCCACAGTCGTGTTAAAAAAGAGTTATATATTTCAAAATACGGGTTTGGATCTATTCTTTCTATGTCTAAGAAAATTCCAACAAAATTTTAGTCGATAGAGAGATAGTTGTATACACAATTTTCTGGAATTTTCTATGGTCGACATGACAGCAACATGATATGGGGCAGTGGATGCTCTTATATGAAATATAAAAAATGCAAATAGTCTAAAATTAACATAACATTTCTCAAAGTAAATCATCATTATACCAAACACACTCTGGACTTGTTCCCTTAACTTATAGCGGCTATTCCACGGCCAAGACTTACTAAGTAAGTAAGTGGTCGTAAGCTAAATTAACAACTATCTTTAGCGACAACGTGCTGGCAGTTATAGTTCTGAATAATGAAGAAGAATTAGATGTGCTATTGCTAACTATGAAGCCGTTTATTTAGACTATATAACTAAACCATTATACACGAACTATTAAAAAAAATTACTTCCTTACTAGGAAACTTTTAGAAGGCCTCAAGCGCCAATATTTCAAAAGTTAGTCTTTTGTGGGTTAGATCCTTTTTGCGTAACGTTGATGATAATAGTTAAATGAACTATTATCATCCAGTTATATACATCTGTAAATACAGTTAATTCTGGGATTTTTCATAATTCCAGGAATTGTCGCTTTGCAGTTAAATTGGTATTCAAAGAATAAGACATATAAAATTGCACCTTAATCCTTCAATTATAATCACTACTATCTTATCTGTCAAAAATAACAAATTTTTCTATCGTCAGTAGGTTGAACCTTTCACCGCCACTTCACGTAATGGTTAGCTACATCATATATTAGATTTATAATAATAATATTATATATACAGAGATACATTCAAAAGTATGGCATCGTCAACATCTATCTAGTTTGTCTCTATCCTGGTGTCACTAAGTCATGTCATCTGGTTGTTCAGGGCTTTCTAACTCTGAGCGTTTGCACAGATACAACTTGTTAGCCAGGATGCTACAGCAGGATCTCATGTTAAAGTGTCTCGTAATTCTGAAACTGCGGCTTAAACAACGAAAATTATAATTACAAGTCATTGAATTACTTTCAAATATGTAGTTTTTTCGCATTTGGCACCACGAGCCACTACGATTACGATGAACTAAAATTTGTATAATTATAGCGCTGACCAAACACGACTTCATCTTATGTGTTAAATAACATAAAATAATACACGATAAAATATAGTTTTATTATATATATACGTTATTCCATTATACTTTTACTTATCATCATCACCATCATCATTACAGCCTATCAAAAATTCGTTACTGAACATAGACCTTTCCCACAGATTGCCTAATAGGGTGATACTTTTCATAGTTCCCACATTTGGGGGGGTTAGGGTTTGACAATCGCATTTTTGAAATTTTGAGATATTCTTTCCCTTACGCCATCCAAGGGACAATATGTTACGGGTAACACTTGTTAATAACAATCCCTAAATTCTTAGAATTCAATTTCTACTTGCTAGATGAATTGAGGGAACGATAAATCCATTACCCGAATGTATTGTCTTATATAAAAGCTTTGTAGCTAACGTCAATGTCTGTTCCGAGTGGCTTTTGTGTGTGGTATTCAATTAATTAATTATTATACATTATGCGACGATCACGTGAGCCGACATAACTGCTGGAGCCATAGGCCCTTGGCTTATATCGAAACCTAACGCAACATTTTCCATCACTGATTACAAATCAACAGCCTTTATACAGGACAGGGTGTTTTGAGGTATTTTCGAATGCCACAGGTAATCATATGATTGGACGGTCTACAAAAACAGTTTTCTAGGTCTGGACATTTGTTCATATAAAATTTATGTACTTACTTAAAACGCCTCCACGATACAAAAAAAAATCTAGTGTATTTATTTAAAAAAAAAACTCTTAATTTAATGTACTCGTAGTTGGTACCACTGTCCACACTAAAGTTAATGGTTTCTTTAATAAAAAGACGTGATGTTTTACCAACTAATAAATAACTTATATTTCTAACAATGAATCGATATTTATTTATACATGAAAAGAAAAAATTGTGTAATTATATCGTATAAATGAGATTTGGCATAATTGCAGTTTATATGGAGAAAGTAATATGTTACAAATACATAAAATAAAACATTAATTGTTTACGTTCATACTGCCAATGTAAATTGTCAAACAATAGTATTACGGTCACCGTCCGTCGCGGAGAGTAGAGACTTGTTTAAAATGTTGCCAAAAATAATTAGTAAAGATGTCACTGTGTACATAAAGGCGATGGATGCAGAAAACTCAGGACCGTGCTTTGTGGCATTTATTGGGAGAGGCCTATTTTGAGAACTCGTGAAGGCTTGTAATAAAGATGACGGTGATAAAAGTTGGCTACATAATGCTTATGCACTGACGTTATTAACATATTAAGTTCTTTCAATAATAATTTAGGTAAGAGCCTCTGCAGATGTAGATCTACTTAACAATCTGGATTGCCTGCTAAACTGCATTAGATTTGTTTTCGGTCTGTAAGAGTAATGACCATTTTCTCAATATAGATCTCAGCTTAAGTAACAAAAACAGAATATTGCTTGGAATTTTTTCTATTTTAAAAGACTCACATTTCGCCTTCTTATCTTAAGGACCAATTTTCTCCACCTGAAGTCACTGTTCAGCCATTCAAACTGGTCTATGTACCACATTCAAAGGGAATATAATAAATAAAGGTTTAATAACATAACAAATAAAATATTGTTACATACTCTAGATGTAAAATTAACTTACAACGAATCTACCTTGACCGTGAAGTGGCGGTTTAAGAATATCCATTACTCCATTATCATTCCGCGGGTGTCGTTATAGGTGACAAAACGACGACAAACCATGAGATTGGCAGCAGCATCTTTCTAATAATAACCAGAAAATAAAATCTGCCAGCATCTTTCTAATAATAACCAGAAAATAAAGTCAACCAGCCTGCCAAGAGTGAAAACTATTACAAATATAAATATGCGCGGTGCACGCTGCTGAATTACGAACACAGGCCGTCTTAGCGATGGCCCGTGTTAGTGCCCGGTTGACCAGCCACATCTGCTCCACACTCATAGGATTCGTATTGCGAATTCCTACACGCGTGGATCCAGCTACGGCACTGAAGCTGAACTTCTTCTCCCCCGTCTCCAGCTTCACAGACTTCCTAGGCTGGTCTTTGGGGGACTCTTCCTCAGACAGACCGCTTTTTTTCCTTCGGAACTGGAGGAGGTTTGGGTAGAGGAATTTCATCCCAGGGCTTCTGGCAGAGAGAGAGGGCCTCTTCGGCTCCTATCTCAGCTGCTATCATCTTTCGGTACCTCTTCCTTGCTGCCGCCCTAAGCTTATAAGACCTAGGGAACTTTTTCCCCCCTCCCTGGTTCGTTTCCGATTGTGGTTCGGCTGCAGAAGTGCCCTCCAGTTCACGGCTCGTCCCAGGTTCTTCCTTCAGCCTCTTCCAAACCTGCAGATGGTTCCATTAGAGGAGATTTTTCATTATTCTTTACAAAATGTCGATTTTCGCCCATTTTGGTCCCACGATTACTTAGGGAAATATTCGGTCACCCCCGGCAGAACCCCGCATGCCTAGGGAAGGGCTAAAATACTACCCGAATCGCCTTGGTCTCGGGTAGGCACCGTTTGCGCCTGGACTCCCTCCAGCTACACATCCATCGGCACGGTATGCTTGACACCTTGGATTGGGTTACGATAGGAAAAAAGGGGGTGGGATAAAAGAAAAGAAGAAGAGAATCGTCTGAGTGTTTCTGTTCTGTCTGTTTCCTATTGAATCAGACCAAAGACTTGCCCTGGGTATCAACATACCTGCGCTCTCCCCCAGAGCCATTCGTCAAACTGCTCGCCGGACAGGAGAGCAGAATAGGTGTTAATCTATTCCTACTGATAATGTCAAAAAGTTAGGAGTAGACTAACCCCCGCCCAAAAAAGACCATAGGTGCGTTTCTACCTCCGGGGACTAAGTCGATAGTGGTAGTTTATATATATATACATAAACACTCACGCCTGTCACCCAGAGGGGTAGGCAGAGACTACAGACTTCCATTTGGCACGATCCTGACACACCTCTCTCGCCTCCTTCACATCCATACATCTACGCATGCATGCTCGTCGGTTAAGGGTACTCCTAATTTGGCCCGTTTTCAATAAATCGCCAATTAGGTCGATAAATTTTCGTCTAGGACGTCCCTTTCCGACTCTGCCATTCACTTCTGCAACATAAATTTTCTTTGTCACTCTTTCCTCATCCATTCTTTCCACATGACCAAACCACCGAAGCATTCCTTTCTTAATCCTGGTCACAACATCATCTTGCAAACCACACTCTTCTTTTATCACACAATTCTTCACCCTGTCATTCAGATTCAGCCCTAAGATACTCCTTAACGACCGCATTTCTACTGCATTTATTCTACTCTCGTGCTTCCTAAATAATTCCTAATCCTAACCCTAAGGGGGTGAAATTGGGGTAAAATGGTTACATGCAAGTCCTATATTTTTAAAGTATAGATATCAAGATCGACATTTACTTTATTAGTTTTAAATAATAAATACTTGCATAGTTAAGCTTTACCTATATAGCCTCTTTATACTTAGGTAAGACTTTTGCAGCGAGAAAATTTCAAAATCTCATAGGAAATCAGATATTGTACGCGGATGAAGTCGCAGGCGGCCGCTAGTTACATAACATATGTGTTATGTAATTGTGTGATAAGTATATTTTTCTTACCTGTCCACCTTTTCCCGTGGTTATTAAAAAGCTTGTGATATCTCCACTTAATTTTAGTTTTTCAGCAACAAATATTTGTGATTCCTTTTTGTGGAAAGATATTAGATGCATCCTTAAGTCCGAAGTGTTTCTGTTTTTCATTTTTAATTCAACCTTTTTATGTTGGCATAATTTACACAAAGCAATTTGGGATGCATGAATTATGTCGAAAAATTCATCAAATTTACTTTTAGGTCTTTTAAACATAAAATATCAAATGTATATGTAGATGCCAAATCGGTTTAGAAGTTTCTAGTTAGTCCTGTGTAGTACGAGAGGTCAGTTCCAAGCATTTTGGTCTGACTTAAATTGAAAAGGTGAAAGATCTAACATTTCTTTTGGAATCTTATTATAAAAGCGTATATCGCTACCCAAGAACGCATTATATACTTTGTGTAACCGGAAAGCAGGTATTGTGATTTTATTTTTATTTCTACTATTAAAATTGTGCAAATCACTCTTATTTACATCAATTCGATGCAATCAATTTCTTTAAACGGTTCTCTAAGATATACTCGGGCTCCTAAAAAGTAAATAGATCTTATTTTACGCTTTTTATTTAATATGCACACTTTTTATATTATTCGATTAGCATTGTACAAAATGTTTACACGTTTCAAGTGTGTTAAAAGTGTCTACAATATTTATCAAATGGGTGACGACATATTCGAACACTTTGTGTTCAAAAACACACACTTCCAAAAATCGAGATTTGCAGAGAACTTATTGAACATGTTTATCTATTAGGTAATAATAATAATAGTAAGTAATTATTATAAACCCATATAGTTAATATTATAATAATTACTTACTAGAATAAATTATTATGGTATCTACCTATCCTTACTATTATCTAATTACAATATTCCTTGCGAGATCAGCATAATGTATTCGTGTCCATTCTGAGCACCCGGAAACTTATTTTATTCTTTGGAACATGTACTCTGTGGCGGCATTCAAATAGTGTCAAATGTAGTGCGTGCGGCGCGGCGGCGACGATTGAATGCGATATCAATAGAAGCCGCCGGCGCGTGTATCTTGACCTTGTACTTCCGAATAGCTGCAAAATTTCTTTGACGGGTCAGTATTCGACCTTTGATGATGCTGACAACAAGACACCGCGCACTATCAAAGTGCCGATGGTCAGAACTAGGGATGCACTGTTTTTTCTTTTAATGGATACTCCTATACTCCCTGAAACGACACTCATCCTAACTGCAAGACGCAAGAGTCTCGCAGGCTTAGTCTTGTTCTTGCTCAAATCTTGCACGGTCAGTCTTGGTCTTGCTAAAATTAGGCGGTCTTGTTCTTGGTCTTGGTCTTGCAAAAATGCAAGAACAAGACCAAGACCGATTTTGGGCAACACTAGTTAAGAAGATGGACGCAGACGGACTACCAAGCAAATGAGGACTCCTAAGACCTAGTAAAAATATTATGTACTCGTAAGAGTGTTCTCTACGTGTAATGATATAATATTCATGTCTCTTATCCACTTTGCCAGTATGCAGAAAAATTAATTACAATCTGCTTGATAGGTACGCAGGGCGAATACCAAAACTTGTTGCTATGAGCCAGCTTCCAACATTCATTTTGCTCCCTGCTGAAATCAAAGCTGTAGTGACAATAATTTTCTCTCTAAATTATTCCGTGTTTCGTGACTTATATTCTTTTAGAGCTGGTCTGGGGGCACTGCAGTGCCCCCGCCAAGTCGAGCAAAAAAGCGGCACGGCCGTACCATACTTTTTACGAAGCAATTCAGGCCATTTTAACCCCCTATAAGTTTGTAGTGTAAAAATTAGAAGCCTGAGTTTCAGTAACCGAGTAGAAATTGTATAAACATGGTATATTTCGAATTTCACTCAATTTGAACCGGTAGTTTAAGAAGTATAACTAGTCAAAGTTTCTTAATTTTGTCACTCACTGACTGACTGATCATCAAAATTCTAAGGTATTTCTAGCAGACATAGAAGCTTCAAATTTAGAATTCAATTAGTGTATAAATCAAGGAAAAACTAAAATATTTTTTTTAATTTCGGTCCAGTTTTCTAGATACACCAACTGCATAAATCACTTTGTAATCCCATATAAATATATAGAATTACAAAGTTACATTTGCAGTGAACGAATCAGTGTACTTGTATAAGTATAATAGGTGTAGATAGGGTACTTTGTTGGTATTCAAGAAGTAGAAGGTACTGGAAAGGGAAAAAGTAGGACTTTCAATTTCAAGGATCTTATCAACAAAAAGAAATGAGATGCCATCAAAAACATAACTTGTAAAAAAACCAAGTCTCGCAACTCAGTTTTTCTACCTTAAAAAGTTGTGAGATCCATGTCATACCATACCAAGTCAGTTAAGTTATTCAGTCCCTGCTTGAGGGCTTAAGGATCCTTCTGTTTTAAGTTATTACGTAATTAGCTAACCTAACAACGTCTTATAGTGACCATATCAATGTTAAAAATCTTTTATGTTTTAAATATATCGATTGACTTGGCAATTGCACTAACCAATCTAATTTTGACTTGGTATTACATGGATCTCACAACTTTTTACGGTAGAAAAACTGAGTTGCGAGACTTGGTTTTATTACAAGTTATGTTTTTGATGGCATATATATTTTTTCATTACTATTGAAATGTATTTCTAACTTTATTGATTATGTAATATATTGATAAATAAAAATAAATAAAACACATTGATTAATCAATCTAAAAAATTACCTAATCTCTGACACTTGTGATGTTTGTATAATTAATGGGAAGATTTTTCACAAGATAGAGACTACTACATTCTGAATACTAAAACATTTTCATGGTTATGTTTGATTAAACGGGCAAATTCCATTCATAACGTGCTTTGGGTTGCTACAAAGCCTTTGTCATATTTCACTAGTGCACATAGTTGTGTCAGCTTTTCTTATAGTTAAGTAAAGCTTTTGTTCCTTGTCTATGAAATTGCCGTTTTATATAAAAATTCCAATCAATTCGTAACAAAAATTATATATTGAACTAGCGATCTGATTAAAATAGTCAAAGACCATGTATGTAATCAGTTTTAAGATTAACAAAAGTTAGTTTTTGGATTAAATAAAGCCTACATCACTTCTGACATTGGCTCTCCACCTGTTCATAAAGTTTCGTCACAATTGGTTTAGCTATTTTGAAGATTAGTCCGGACAAACAGATAGACAAACTGACAGTCGGACAATATTTTAAAAATGGTTATTCAAGACTTAGTGGCTTGCAAAAAACCCAAACAAAACAATTACAGACATACAATTCAACTTTATTTATATGTATATTGATGAGCAAATTATCAGTCATTCTCGTAATAATAATAATAATAATAGAGGAGTACATTGGAAGAGGCGATTGTGGAAACGCGCAGTACGCCTCTCGAAAATCGACCGCGACTTCCCCGCTTAGCCCTAAGCAAGCGGAATCGGGCTGTCGTGAGAGCTCTGAACTCAGTGCTGGTTACCTATTTGGAAGCCAGCCGGGACCTTTGTGAGACGGACTCAATTCTTTTTGGCGGCGCACTGTCAGTCTGCCGTATTATAGGCGCCAAACTTTCCACGGCTGGACGTGCTACTGGACAAAGTAGTGCTATCCCAGCCTGGAGAATAAGAATTGAAGAACTTATCGCAAAGGCTAGGGCCCTCATCGGCAGACTGATATGCTTCAGGTCAGGCAATACCAGGCCAAGGATTGTGCGCACCGTCAGGATGGCGTTTGCTGGGACAAATGCTAGTTTGTCCCAGCCGGATATAATACAAAAACTGACGGAGCGCATAGACGACCTGAAGCAAAGAATCGCTGCTTGGGGAAAGCGGATTCGGCGATATACCGAGAGGTTGACACGTTTCAACCAAAATCGTCTCTTCGAGAGTGATCAGAAGAGGCACTATAAATCATTGGAGCGACCAATAGTAAGTGGAACGGGCCCAGCACCAAATTAGGCCGACACGGTCGCATTCTGGCGCAGCCTGTGGTCAGAGCCTGTGAACCACAACAAGGGCCCTTGGACGGAAGTTGTGGCGAGTCAGTGTGCGGGTATTACGCCCATGGACCCCGTCATCATAACGCCGGATGACGTAGCTGAGGCGGTCCGTAGGGCCCGAACTGGAAAAGTCCGGGGCTTGACGGGCTGCATCACTACTGGCTGAAGGGGTTCATAGTGTGTCACGCTGTGCTCGCCCGACAGTTTCAAGAGGCTCTCGACCAGAAGTCGCTCCCAAGCCTCTTCACTACTGGGATCACTCATTTGGTTCCTAAAGATCAGGGTGCCACAGACCCGAACTAATACCGCCCCATCACGTGTCTACCGACCATATACAAGACACTAACATTCATTTTGAGCGTGAGAATCGCTCGTCACCTGCACTCAAATCAGGTGATGTCGCGCGCTCAAAATGGATGTCGGGACTGCGGTCGTGGAACCAAGGAACCACTCCTCATTGACGCGGTCATTGGCAAAGTGGTGAAACGCAACCGTCGGAACTTCTCCGCCGCCTGGATAGATTACAGAAAGGCATTTGACTCGGTGCCTCATACATGGCTAAAAAGGCTCCTCGAGCTGTACAAGATTGACTGTACAGTTCGAGACTTCCTCGAGCAGTGTATGGGGCAGTGGAGTACGATCCTCTGTCATCTAGGCGAGCGGCGCGACCGATTCCAGGGCGACTGTCTGAGTCCAATCTGGTTCTGCCTCTATTTGAACCCTCTCAGTACTTAACTGGAGGGCTCCGGGAGGGGATTTCAGCTTCGGAAAGGAGGTAGAAAAGTGACCCACCTTTTCTATATGGATGACCTCAAATTATTAGCCTCCAGTCGCTCCCATCTTATGGAATTGCTAAACATCACTTGTGAATTTAGCAATTCTATTAGAATGGAGCTGGGGACGGATAAGTGTGCGGTCCTCCATGTTGAAAGGGGAAGGGTTGCTAACTCTGAGGGCATAGACTTATCTACGCCCGTCAACTTAAGGACCCTTTCCGAGGCTGAAACATACCGATACCTGGGTATGTCACAGAACAACGGTATCGATGAGGCTGGTATGAAACAGTCAGTTTGCGACATGTTTTATGCACGCTTGACCAAAGTGCTTAACAGCCTTTTGTCCGGTGTGAATAAGACACACGCATATAACGGCTGGGTCATGCCTGTCCTCATGTATAACTTTGGTATACTCAGGTGGAGTCAGACTGAACTTAAGGCCCTGGATAGAAAAGTCCACACTACTATGACGTCCCATAGGATGCATCATCCGAGATCGTCGGTAATGAGGCTGTACTTGTCGCGAAAGCATGGTGGGCGTAGCTATCTGAGCGCGCTCACCATGCATAATCGCGAAGTGTGCAGCCTCCGTCATTACTTCCTGGCGAGATTGGATGATCCATTCTATAATGATGTCATTTTTAGTGATAAAGGACTTACCCCTCTATCCTTAGCCAACGAGAAATGGCAGGAATCGGCAGTACAGAGCATTTCCGACCGGGAGACCGTATGGAAGGAGAAGGAGCTCCACGGGAGGTACAACAGGGCCCTACATGAGCCCCACGTAGATACAGCCGCCTCCCTCAACTGGCTACGTTTCGGTGACCTCTTCGGAGAAACCGAGGGTTTTGTCTGTGCAATACAGGATCAGGTTATTAAGACCAACAACTATCGGAGATACATCCTAAAGGATGGCACTGTCGACGTCTGTCGAGCTTGTCGCCATCCCGGTGAGTCACTGAGGCATGTCATCTCCGGTTGTTCGGCGCTTTCTAACTCTGAGTACTTGCACAGACACAACCTAGTAGCCAGAATTCTTCACAAGGAGCTCGCTCTGAAATACAGTCTCGTGGATCGGAAATTGCCGTATTACAAGTACTAGCCGGAAGCCGTGCTCGAAAATGATCGCGCCAGGCTCTATTGGGACCGGGCCATCATCACAGACAGGACTATTCTTGCGAATAAACCTGATATTGTGCTGATGGACCGGGCACAGTCAAGGATATTTTTGGTCGACATTACCATTCCGTATGAAAGCCGAAACAGATAAGCAAAAAAAAATACCTGGACCTGGCTCACGAGGTGACCGACATGTGGGGTGGTATGCCGGCCGAAATTATTCCTGTAGTCGTCTCTGCAAACGGGCTACTCCCAGTCAGCCTCTCGGGTTATCTGAGGCAGCTGGGATTACGTGGCGGACCGCTCCAGGTTCAAATGCAGAAGGTGGTGCTCCTCGATACAGCCCGCATCGTCCGCCGGTTTCTTTCCCTTTCCCCCTAACCCTCGGCCGTTTGGTCTCCCCTGCTGAGGGCTTCTATCTGGTTAGATCTTATTTATTTATAAGATACATTAGTATTACATCTCTATTGTCGATATGTTTTCATCCTTTTAATTGAAGTGTATTAAAGTCGTCATCTTGGGCTTTTGTGAAAAGGAATCCAAATTATACCAAAAAGACAGTATGAGGAGGTCTGGCGAATTCGAATGATAACGGCCAGTTTTCGGTCGAAGCCCCTGTAATTTTTAAAGAGACTATTTCGATTATGTGGCATATCCGCATTGAAATAACCCAAAATTTGTTAGTAGGTCACTCAAACAATGCAACAATTTTAATACAAATTCTGAAAACATTCAGGTGACCTACTAAACGTCACACGCCTTTTTACTCTCGGGGCCTGCTTCATGTGCCGTACAATTTATACCTTTCGCCTTCTACCACGAAGCTTTTATATTCATGTTATTTTACGTAAAATATATATTTGTATCATAAATTAAAAATTTTACCTGTTCCAAACCTACGCTGCTTTGTTTAATACTATGAAAAAAATTGTTAATAACGCGACAATAGATGTCCTTTAGCATCTATCAGTTCACTGATGACAAACAATGAGTTAGTTTTAATGAACCTAACATTAAGGAAAAAAGACGAATGAATGATTAAGGATAATAGATAAACACTACTCTTATCTTACAATTTGGTCAACCGCAACGTCCCCGCAGTAGAATCCGTCACTATACGATCTCATCAAATCATACTCCGTCAAAAGAACAAGTAAATTTATCAATCGTAACAAATGTGTGATTTTTGTTTGTTCCCGACCATTAAAGATTGAATTCAGATGATGAGATTTCTGAATACAGGACAGGCAGAAACGACTTTATAAATGCAATCATTTCCATCAACTGTGGAAAGAACCGAGCAGCCCGACTACATCTTGCAATAATAACGTTTCATAGTACCTACGCGAGCTGTATATGATCAGCGTTGCTGGCACAACTAAAAAGTAAAGTAAAGTTACAGCCTATATACGTCCCACTTCTGGGCACAGACCTCCCCTCATTTCTGAGAGGATTTTAAAAGGACGAGGAAGTATCCGCCGAGCTGGCCCAATGCGTGTTGGCGAACTTCACATGTCTTCGAAATCTTCGAAATATTTTTTTTTCTTATTTATCTGGCATGCAGGTTTCCTCACGATGTTTTCCTTCACCGTCGAGCACGTGGTAAATCAGCACTTAAAATTGCATTTAACAATTTCATTGGTGCCGGCGGGGATCGAACCCGGTTTGCTCGCGTACTGTGAAATTTACAGCGAGCGTTAACCATCAAAGCTACCACGGCTCTTCTCGGCACAACTAAAATATAATGTATTATAGTAAAGCTTTTATCCGTATACCGTATGTTCAGTAGTGTAAAATTTATCTACTTTGTGTACAACATTATGATATTTTTATATATAAATTTCATTTTATTGTAATGAGACCTAAAAGCTATACTTTAAAATAATGGCGAGGTTATAAAATAATTTTTGGCACCTTCAAGTCAAATAACAACTGAAGGTATTTATTACTTCGGGCCATTTTCTTGAATTAATCTTATTGTTGCTAAAAACGTATAATATTTATTTGAATACAAATACGAGGTCTATAAGGTAGGTATACCTATTACGTCGATAGTTCGCAGGTTTCACTCGAGAAGGCAACAATTGCATTGGAGTACCTACAAATGCATGCAATTCGAGTGTAAATGAAATTGCTGTGGCTGGCTATGAGTGAGGGAAAATTTATATTAAACGTTAATTTCAGTTTCTTTGTATTGTATCCATTATATTTTCTCATAAAGTTTGTATGCATTTTAAAGAATTCCTTTTGATTGTCAGCATTAGGAATGCGTATTATTTAACAGCACGTATCAGTTTAAATACAAGCCGATTTAAAAATAAAATAAATTTATTAGGCACACCGAAGGCAAACTCTTCTTTCACAAACGTTGAGCTTTTTCTTTCTTGGTCCTCTGGTCGAGTGTGGACATGCGAACAAAATTTTATACAAATGTTCTAAAGATTTCTCACCAACCTTTATCAATTTCATGACATTTATTCCTTACTAACATCTGCCCGCGACTTCGTACGCGGATCCTGTTGCTTATGCCAGCGACAACGGCGTCGTCAAAATCGAAGATGTGAAACGTCTGATTTCGAATTCTAAGAGCCCGGGGACGGGAAAACAACGTGATGCGCGAGACGATTCGAGACGTTCCAGATCTTTCATTTTTGTAAGTCAAGACGAAATGCCCACAGACTAAACAACTTTTGCTAGGACGTCACTCCTATATATGTTATAATGTCGCTGGGCTTTGGAGTTCCACAACAGGTGTTCCAGATCTTCAAATTTATTCTCACAGCAGAAAATACTCTTCACGTGGAATATTTTTTCTATGGCACCATTTTTATATCTCTTATACTTAAGCTGGTCTGTTGCGGTTCTGCATCAGGTGTTCCATTTTCCAAACTAAATTATAGCCTATATGTTGCCTAGGCTTAACACCTATACAACAAACAACTTTTCATCCCATATATTTCACCGATCCGGTGCGGAATGCACCGGATCCCAAGGGTACACTGAATTAACAATAGTATTGCAAACAATTTTAAAAAAATCTTTATAACTGTAGTTGTACCCGTGT